CACTCTATTAGGGTACTCTGTGCTGACAAAACCCTCTTGCTGACTCATTTAAAACATCCCAGCTAACTTTCCATCAGGAAAGCGGTTTTAACATCCATTTTCCATATTTCATAATCATGAAATGCAACAATGGTTAACATAACCCTAATATACTTAATCTTTGCTACTGGTGAAAAGGTCTCATCATAATCAACTCCCAGAGTTTGAGAAAAGCCCTTTTCAACCAGTCGCGCCTTATAAGTGTGTACATTACCATCCTTGTCGGTCTTCTTCTTGAAGATCCATTCGCACCCAACTATCTTACGACCTGGTACAAATTCAACTAAGTTCAAACTTGATTATCATACATGGATTGTATCTCGTTATCCATAGCCTCTTTCCATTTGAACAGCCTCAGGGCCCGCCCTGACTTCGGTGTAGCGTTTAGGTTCACCCAGAACTATTAGTGTGCTATCACTGATTAGTGTATCACCTTCCGCAGTAATATGGAAACCATAGTAATGCTCAGGTGCATTCCTAACTCTCGTGGAACGCCTCAGAGGTACAGACTCATGAGTCGGATCAACATGATTTTCTCCTTAGGTTGATTGCTAGGGTTTAAGGTTCCTTCACCCCTACCACTACCACATAACATCCTAGCATATACACATAAATCACATACTTCCTAGCATATCTAGGTGCTGGCCTACCACTTCAGTCTCTTTCAACCGGTAACCAGGGACTATTTCACCCCTACCACTACCACATAATAAAATTGCACATCATACTGTCAGACATATCTGGGTGCCTGATAGCTTCATTTTATTTACTTATTTTTATAGTTTATTTTAGTACATTTCATTCGCATTTTAGTTAACTTTCATGCATATTTTCCCTTTTGTTATTTTTATGACCATTTCGGGGTACTTTCTAGTTTCTTGAGCATTATTGCAGATTTTCTTGGAAACTAGCGGGGCGGCACTCTTGCGAGGCGATTGGGCTTGAAGGGAATTGGAGATTTCATGCTTGATGGCTATGAAGGTGATTCATGGGGTGGACTTGTCAATTGCTTGAAGGCTTGGAAGAATTGAGCTTTAAATTTGAAAGATGCGGGGGAACATTCAGCGTATGAAAATTATTAATCGGGCGAGTTCACGAGCTTTGGAGGATTTAGAGAGGTCAAATTGGGCTTTAAATGAAGAAAAACTTGAAGAAAATGGGCTAGGAGGTGATTGGATTCGATCTGGGCTAGTGGGATATGCTTTAGGCCCAAAATCTCAAAGAAGCCCATGTCAGGCACCACCCGCGCAGCAGCACGCGGGTCGCGCAAGGCCCTGCAGGGGAAATTTCGGGAATTCTTCTTTTGAGCTATTTGAGGAAGGTTGGTGCCCATCTTTTGCATACACTTGCACATCCGATTTTTGGAGATTCTCTCTGGAGTTTTGAAGACTTTTGAAGGCCAAGAACCCTTGAAGAACATCATATTTTTACCTCTTGATTCTTGCTTAATGTTTGGTACAATTTCTCTAACTTTGTTTCTTTGTGTTTAGCCATGCTTGGCTAAACTAATCTTGGTTGACTTTTGTTTAATCCTTTGAACTTTTGTTGAATGTTGAAGAATCCATGAACATGTTCTTGAATCTTTATGGAAATGTTTTGTGTTTTAACATCTTATCATTACTTGTATGTTTTAGTTCATGAGTTTAAATGTGTTTGTGGTGATTAGTTGGCTAATTTCTTGATTAAGTAAAGGATCCTCAAATTAGCAAGCAACAAATGATTTTTGTGTTGTTTTACTTCACACAATCATAAAAACATTTCCTCCAACATGGTGGTGAAAGCATTTGACCCCTCTTGGATTTGGTGACTTTTTGGTTCTTAATGCTAGTTGACTTTCACTAATTACATGCTATTTGGAATTAGTGACTTTGACTAAGGAAATTGTTATGAGCTTCTCTAGCCATTTCAACAATTAAGAAAAGTCTAGGTAATCTCAAGCTCCTTGGATTACTATAGCCAAATTGAGGATTTAAAACAAGTATTGCACCATTGAATTCTAATGATATGTTCATCAAAAGTCAAAGTGAGAAAACTTTAAGTCAACCATCTTTCCCTTATTGATTTTACATCAAATTCTTATTTTTGTTGCAATTGTCTATTTAAATCATAGTTAATTCTAGTTTGTTTCAAGTATTTCAAAACATCAAAACCCCCATTTTTAATTTATTGTCATATTCCAAGTATTTTACAAAGAGATTTTTCATAGAGTTATCAAATTGAACCAGTCTCCGTGGATTCGATCCCTTTACCACTATACACTATTTTAGTGTGTAATATTAGGGTTATTATTTTAGTGTGTAAATTAGGGTAATTCGGGCGTTCGAGCCCGGTCAAATCAACAGATGTGAGCTATTTTTCCTCCGAAGCATGAGGCATGCACTCTCCCTCAGTTTTTCAGGCTTCTTTTTAGACAAATGTGACTCCATACGCCAACGTTCCTCAGGGGAAATTTTCATCGGGGGACTTATCACGATCATAGGTCGAGCCGTCGGCCTAGACTTCCCGGATCCCGAGTACATACCTGTCGACACCCCACCGAACTTCCTGCTAGATTGTGACACTCTCATCCGGATGGAGATGTTGCTCGATCGGGGAACCCGCACGTACAGTTGGTTAGACGCTGACAAAGCCCGGTTTACATCCTGCCAAGTTGGATCGGTTCTCATTCGATACAGGCGACCCCGACACTTGGCTTCCTCCAGATCAATTGACCCAAGCAGGTGTATTCCCAGAATTCGGTGATGATGAGGGTGACGACGCAGAGGAACAAGAGGAAGAAGATGACGAAGAGGACGACGAGATGCCCGAAGCTGAAGACCATTTTGACCAACCCTCGATGCAGCAGCCGATGTTTCAGCACGATCAGTTCCAGGCCCCTCCACATCATTTTGACCAGCCGCATCAGCAGGAGGGACACGAAGTCCCACCATATTTCCCCCTACGTTCTTTGACCAATTTGCCACAATGTTCTCCACGGTGCAGCGTATCGACGCCCAAACGCAAGAGAATTCGAGAGCCATCCTAGATGTGGCAAGCCGTGTTGATCGATTGGAGCAGTCCTCCTCTCACACTTCCAGCCAGCTCCAGGATATGTGGACTACCACATCGCCACGGGCATTTCCCCCGCCCGACCCCCCGATCTAGGTCCTTTCTGCCCTTTCCTTAAGCATTGAGGACAATGCTTGTTCTTAAGCTTGGGGTGGGGCATTTCCCTTTTTTTCTTACTTTTTTCATGCATTTTTAGTTAGGTTGCATAACATATTAGTTTAAGTTAATTTGCATTTTTTTTATTTTATTAAATTTAAAAAAGATTTTATTTTCTTCTTTTCTACTTTTTATTTTTGCATAACATTTAGCTTAAGACATTAGCATTCATGCATTTTTGTTGTCTGTTTATTCTCACCTCTCTTGGATGCCATGGAACAGGTTCATAGTTATTGTATCATTATTGGTCCAGGATCTTGTTGCTATCTCACCCATCGAACCGGGACCACTAGCTGCAGTTTGGGATTTCATACTTGGGATCAGATGCTGGTAGCTTAAAGGGTAAGTGATCATGGACAGGTAGTTTTCATGAAGAATTATGCATACAATACTAACAACTGTAGGATATACTATAGCAATGGGTGTTCTTAGCCTTGCGGTCACTACCGCGGAGAGGATCACACTTGATCATGTTTGAACTGTTAGGATGAAGCATTGGTGCTTGTCCCCGAGTAGAATCCATATCCGGTCTCTTTACATCACCATATCTTTTTGCGATTTTCTTAGAATTTAGAGAGTCTTTTAGTCCACATTTGGACATTTCATTATCTTTGAAAAACCACAAGTTTGAAAAGGAGCTTACATTACATCTTTATGCTCCACACATGGTCATTTTCACACTTAGGCCATTCGGATTATATCATTACCCTTTCGGTTCCACCTACACACCTTTGGGAACCAAATTTTGAGTCAAAGGGTTTTTAATAAAAAAAAAAAAAAAAACAAAAAAAAAAAAAAAAAAAAAAAAAAAACAAAAAACAAAAACAAAAAAAATGAAGCATGCAAATTTTCAGTTGCAACTATCTTAAATAGGTGGCCGGTTCAATTATTGAACAAATTTCCCAACATCTTGGTCACCCGACGTTTGATATTCATTTGTATATCTGTTTTATTGTATATAGATCGAGTTATTTTTTTCTTTCTCACAAATTGGTGATGTTAGAGAGACTGTCGAGTCGGATACTACGGGAGGTTTGGGCCAACACTAAGTGAACTGATTCCTACAACGGTGCCCGAGCGATTAAACCTAGTTACACATGAGAGAAACCGGCAAATGTGAGATCAGAGTGTACACTTAAAGAAGAGCTCCACCCGAGCCCATCCAGTTGCTTTCTCCCTACTACAGATGTTCTTCATTGTATACATGTTCCATTGAGGCTGCGACTGCTCATCCCTCCTTACTCACCTAAAGGAGTTGTCCTGGCTGTGGTTTATGGTTCCATTGTCATCGGATGAAAAAGTTGTGAGATAGCAGCGAAATCAATTCTGACCATGTTGACTAACGTCGAACAGGTTCCATGGTTCTATCCATTCTTTTATTTCTAGGGTAGTTCATCCCAAGTTCATTTAGTCTTGTCTTACTTGAGGACAAGTAAGGTTTAAGCTTGGGGTGATTTGATAGCTTCATTTTATTTACTTATTTTTATAGTTTATTTTAGTACATTTCATTCGCATTTTAGTTAACTTTCATGCATATTTTCCCTTTTGTTATTTTTATGACCATTTCGGGGTACTTTCTAGTTTCTTGAGCATTATTGCAGATTTTCTTGGAAACTAGCGGGGCGACACTCTTGCGAGGCGATTGGGCTTGAAGGGAATTGGAGATTTCATGCTTGATGGCTATGAAGGTGATTCATGGGGTGGACTTGTCAATTGCTTGAAGGCTTGGAAGAATTGAGCTTTAAATTTGAAAGATGCGGGGAACATTCAAGCGTATGAAAATTATTAATCGGGCGAGTTCACGAGCTTGGAGGATTTAGAGAGGTCAAATTGGGCTTTAAATGAAGAAAAACTTGAAGAAAATGGGCTAGGAGGTGATTGGATTCGATCTGGGCTAGTGGGATATGCTTTAGAGGCCCAAAATCTCAAAGAAGCCCATGTCAGGCACCACCCGCGCAGCAGCACGCGGGTCGCGCAAGGCCCTGCAGGGGTAGTTTCGGAAATTCTTCTTTTGAGCTATTTGAGGAAGGTTGGTTCCCATCTTTTGCATACACTTGCACATCCGATTTTTGGAGATTCTCTCTGGAGTTTTGAAGACTTTTGAAGGCCAAGAACCCTTGAAGAACATCATATTTTTACCTCTTGATTCTTGCTTAATGTTTGGTACAATTTCTCTAACTTTGTTTCTTTGTGTTTAGCCATGCTTGGCTAAACTAATCTTGGTTGACTTTTGTTAATCCTTTGAACTTTTGTTGAATGTTGAAGAATCCATGAACATGTTCTTGAATCTTTATGGAAATGTTTTGTGTTTTAACATCTTATCATTACTTGTATGTTTTAGTTCATGAGTTTAAATGTTTGTGGTGATTAGTTGGCTAATTTCTTGATTAAGTAAAGGATCCTCAAATTAGCAAGCAACAAATGATTTTTGTGTTGTTTTTGCTTCACACAATCATAAAAACATTTCCTCCAACATGGTGGTGAAAGCATTTGACCCCTCTTGGATTTGGTGACTTTTTGGTTCTTAATGCTAGTTGACTTTCACTAATTACATGCTATTTGGAATTAGTGACTTTGACTAAGGAAATTGTTATGAGCTTCTCTAGCCATTTCAACAATTAAGAAAAGTCTAGGTAATCTCAAGCTCCTTGGATTACTATAGCCAAATTGAGGATTTAAAACAAGTATTGCACCATTGAATTCTAATGATATGTTCATCAAAAGTCAAAGTGAGAAAACTTTAAGTCAACCATCTTTCCCTTATTGATTTTACATCAAATTCTTATTTTGTTGCAATTGTCTATTTAAATCATAGTTAATTCTAGTTTGTTTCAAGTATTTCAAAACATCAAAACCCCCATTTTTAATTTATTGTCATATTCCAAGTATTTTTACAAAGAGATTTTTCATAGAGTTATCAAATTGAACCAATCTCCGTGGATTCGATCCCTTTACCACTATACACTATTTTAGTGTGTAATAATTAGGGTTATTATTTGTGTTGGCCTCGACAACCACCA